AATTAAATTAAGTAAGCCTCATAAATACATCGATTGACAGTTAAGCTTACTAATGTTATACACTAGCTGTTCTCGTGCGGGTTTATCCACATGAAATTATAAAACTTTGTTTTATTGTTTACATTTGTCAAAATTCACCATTATAACCTTGTTGTTGTTTTTTTTCCAACTTATTTACCACCTATGTTTATTAGCGTGAAAATGTATATCCTAAAGCGTGTCGTAAGTGTAGGGCTTTTTATTAAAGAAATAATTGTCCAAAAATATGCTGTGATTGCTGACATCCTACACCACGAAGTAGTGTGTGTTAACGCTTTATTATACTAGTATAGATGTGAAAGTTTGGATTGATGTTAGTTGTAATGTATCCCTAAAGCGCCTTAACAGATCTTTTTTATTGATGAAATTTGGCACAGATTTAGAACATAGTTTGGATTAACGCTTACTCTACTTACTACTTGTTTTTAATAACTCGCTTGGAGTCGCGGGATAATGCTAGTGAAATTATATTACAATACTTATGGCCTGTCCAACCACTGGCTGATAGAGGCTCAGATAAGAGAACAAAATCCGATATTTCCATCACACTTTTCACGTTGGATTGTTATCAGACAATTTGGTGAGACAGGCCTTTAGTAAAACTTAAATGATGATTTTTCGGCATATTTGAAATGTGGTTCAGGATAATTCATTCTTAGTAAAGCGACACTATCTTAGACGTAAAGTAAAATATTTAACAATAAACTAATAAAAAAGTAATTTTGGCTTGCATCTAACATAGTGCAAGTTAAGCGAAACAGAACCAAGTGTTTGTTTTGGCTTACATACTCAGGTGAAGTCACGTAGGAAACCAATAACATTCATCGCATGCGACAACTTTTGTCCAATGTTAGTAATCCTATGTTATGAAATAATTGAACTTTTATCCCAATAAATAAACTTGTAACCTGATTTTGTAAATTTTAAAAATGGCAGATAAAGTTTTGCGTCTTATTAATCTCCAAAAGTGAGATGAAATAAAAAAAACAAACATAGTTACTTACTTATATTGTCGCTTTTTAATAGTGACATAATTTTTGAAATCGGCCCAGTAGTTTTTGGGTCATTTCAATATACACAAAAATCCAAATATTTACTCTTTGTTATATTAGCATAAATAAGCCTTGTTAAGCCGATACGTATTTCTTAATCTTTTCCTCACCATTTTTTTCCTATCGATAATACCATTGTACATTGTTTCTAACCGTTTATTTATATTCGTCAATTGCGTCAGTCAAGCGCGTCTATCAACTAATAAGTGTTTATACCGCCATGTAGGTTCTTGGAAAAGCCCGTCAATTCAGTCAATTATTTTAAGATGTCCTCAGTAATCCCAAACAGACACTAACGTCACGGAGGGCTATGACACACAAGCATTGTATGAGGTCATCTGTACTAATTCCTATTCTTAACTGACCTGTAACATACGTGAAAACATTTAATTATTTTAATTGGGTATTTAGTTTACAATAATAGGAGATATTTCCTTGACTTTAGTTGGGTTTATTTTCCTTCTTGAATTATAATTTAACCAAAGGCAGGTACCTTCTCCTTTCAACTGTCTTCTTAACAACAACTGATGGATGTTTTCAATCATATTATTATTTTAATTTTGTATAAATCACATATCTTTCAACATCCAACATGTCATAAAAGGCATTTAATATTAGAATCCAGGACAAGGATAACAGCGTCCTACGTAATTAAAATAAACTAGTACATGTTGGCGATTATGTTTAGAACAAGCTCAAAAATCACGACTAATTTTTGAGATTCCATTATGAGTTGTCTCTCAGAGATTAACTGTTTATAGTCTGTAATGTAAAAAAGATTTGTGTACTCAAAGTAATCTAAAATTAAGGAATTAAGTACCATAAATATGTCTCATTAAAATATATGACATTAAAATATAACAATCATCTCGGTGTCCTTATCCTACTTCCTTAAGGCTCGAAGGACCAAGTTTTCGTCGTCTCAGTTGTTACTTCTTGATCATGTCACTTTACCAACTACTTCTTTCTCTGTCTACCTCTACATGCGTTAATGATAAGATAGCATTAAAAATATTTAATACTTGCTTAAGTTTCTTTGTAAAAAAAATACAATGGACGGACTTTCGGCTCATTACACACACCTATTAAATGTATGATAGTACATTCTTTCGAAGTTAGGACACTCCCTGTTATTGTTTGAAGTGTCAATTATAATTTCATATTCAACGATGCAGTAATTCTTAAAAGTCACTGTGATAGCTATATTTATCTTAACCAATTGAGCGTAAACATGTGACACTATAACAACAACTTAGCCAATAAGATTTATTATTTACATTTCAAAACATTATTTTTACAATAATTTGAAAATTTCCAACTTTAGTCCCTTTTCGTACAATTTTTCTTATAAGAATATGATGAAAAGGGAACGTGGATTTGACGGAGGAGGAGACGCTTAGGAAGAGAAGAGGAAAAATCTTCTTTATGTGCGTCTCATCCTCTGTCGATTAGGCAACGCATCCGCTATTGCGAATGTCTATTGGCAGCGGTCGCTTCGTCTTATTAGCCGATTCAGGTGGCCGCTTACAACTTTTTTTTTAAAGCCAGCAACGCAACTGTTTCTATTTCCGAATGTCCATGTCCCTCACCTGATCACCTCGGTATTCCCTTTGCTCTTTTACCCCTTCTCTTATAAATCTACTTCCTAGCAATAGAGTAAAATTGACCCGTGATGTCAAAAATGTTTAATCTACAAGCCAAAAAACTTGTTTGGTTAGTAGAACGTGAATAACGGTAACCGGTAACAAGGCGGAGCGTACAATTTGTGATTGTATATGTCACCGATTGATTGTGAATACTGGATGTTTATTATTTTATCTATACTAATTGTAAACAGTCGTTAAATATCTGATACAACAAGTTCACTTAAAGGGACGTATTTTAACAAACGGAGGTTGGTTCAAGATAAGAACCCAATAAGATCTTCAATGAAGTGTCATTGGAGATCATTCAGGGCTGCCAATATAGTGATGTGAACAACAGTTGCATACAAAAAAATTCTTTACAATTATCTTGTATTATCTGAATGTTTGTTAACAAAAAACTTGCGTGTAAATGGACCTTTAGAGTGCGCATTTTATAATCTGGCGGGATTTATGATTGGCTGGTGACATATGCATTGTTTTGATATCGTAATAAGTTAGAATATAACAGTTAATCTGAGTTCAGTAATATTATTGCTTAAAAGCAGTGAAATTCAAAGGACTACGAGTTACATTTGTAGGATGTTAGAAAAGAATGGATGTATTAAACATAGGAGAATAAAAGATATATAGTTTAGAACTTGCAATCTGCTTAATTAATGCAAACGGAAAGTAATAACCCGTGTAGTGATGTCTACAATACCAATGAGTATATGAATTCGTTTCATGAAATTGATAGGAATATAGTAAAGCAACTATTCAAGAATTTGTACTAACAAATCTATGTTATAGAAGATTGTAGTAAATTGTTTTAATATAGAGCATTAAACAAAACACAGTGAAATATAAAAAGACCGGATGTTAAGACTAAATCGAGTTGATTTTATCTCATCTATCTGTGTAAATATTTAGCAAGTAAACATTTGCGGTGATGAGCCGTTCACTTGAGTTTTTCGACCTGGTTTTAATTCTTATTTTTATCGTGTGTAGAGTCGATTTTATTTCCATAAATATACAAGATCTGTCAAGCCTTGTATATTTTGTATGTGGAATTTGACATGATTTGCGTGTGTTACATTTTTCGCTACTGTTGTACGGGACGTAGTTTTATAAACATTTATTGAATTTCTATATTATCTTTGTAAATAGACATACCAGATTCATAATTTAAGTGTGACAAAACAAATAATTGTGTGAAATTTAAGATATGCGATCTTGTTTTTTTTTTATTATTTTAATGCAGGAATGGAATTTCTGACTTCTATTGTACATGAATGGAATAACAAAAACAATCAATTGTAGTATTTTTCAGTAAAAATACCGATATTTATCCGAATAAATTAGACTATAATTTTATTTTTTATTGGCATATCTTGAACACTGTTGTCGACGGTGATGATGATGAGGGTTTTTTGAAGTTTGGACCAAGCTATAAATTAATTTTCTTTTGATAAAATAAGTAATTTAAACGATTTCCTTATGTTCAAAATATTTATATTATACTAATATTATAAATGCGAACGTTAAGATGGATAGATGGATGTATGTTAGAGTTTGTAGCCAAAACGGTTGAACGAATTTCGATGAAATTTGGTATAGAAGTAGATATCTGGAAGAACACATAGGCTATTTACTTTTGTTTTTTTTTCTACGCGGACGTAGTCGCGGGCGACAGCTGGTAAACACTGAATATAAGGATCGGTAAAAACAGTCATTGTATTGTAATTATATTTTATAATAGATATGTTAATAAACTAATAAACATAAATAAATATAATCTTTGTCGTTTGGTGCATAAATTTTGTTATAACTTTGTTTAATGAGACGTTTATTTAATAAGAGAAAAGTATGTATTTGCTTGTTTTTTTTTTAATTTCGACTATGTTTAAAATCTAACTAATATTATAAATGTAAAAGTTTAGATGGATGGATGGATGTTTGTTAGAGTTTGTAGCCTAAACGGCTGACCGAATTTTAGTGAAATTTGGTACAGATGTAGAGGATAATCTGGAAGAACACATATGCTACTCACTTTTGTTGTTTTTTAATTCCACGCGGGCGGAGTCACGGGCGAAAACTAGTAAAAAATAAAACTCAGTAGGAGTTAAGATATTTTAAACACAAAAAGACGTGTTAAATTAAAAATGTAACTATTAATTATAAAACAGTATAATAGATGTTAAAAACAATAGCAACCATCTCTTTCTCTCGTAAAAGCTTGCGAGGTTTTCTTGCGAACATATTCTAGTCATTGGGCAGACGCGGATATGTGCGGTCGTTTGCGACTCGTGCGCATACAATAACACATCGTAACGTAAAACATGGATACCAATGAAAGAAAACAGTGATTTTTATATATTAAAAACGACAAAAAACATGTTCAGTTCATAATTGTGAATTAAAAGTGTTTTCAAGTAAGAAGTAAATAAGAAAATTTAAAATGAAATTCTTTTTGTAAGTAGTTTTTTTTTAATTTAAAATAAGTTTTATACGCTTTATAATATAATGGAATAACATTAAAATTGCTTTTGATCGAATTAAATGTTATATTTTTTACAATGTGTCATAAAATTGAAACTAAACATTAGTAGGTCAATAAACAAAGGGTAACTGTTATAAAATTAATTATTAAGCACGTTTAAAAGCCGCCATGTATAAATTTATTTATGAGTAGCTGTTGCCCGCGACTTCGTTCACGCAATATTAAGATAAAAAGCTATAATTTGCCCGTCTATGTCAGCTACCCTTCAGTTAAAGTCCGGTCAAAATCGGCCCAGCCGTTTCGGAGATCACCCGGAGCAACTACTTGCGGACAGAGAGAAAAATTAAATGCGGTTTTCGTTATCAGAAACGCAAATACATCTTCCCGAAATCTTTATTTTGATATTACAAACAGACACTCCAATTTTATTATATGTATAGATAGATATTCGAATTCTATACGTACATAATAAATAAATAGGACATTTATTGCCACAAAAACAAGCTACAAATGAAATCTTACATACATCAACCTTAAAGTTAGTAAAAAAAAGAAAATCGAATCGTACATTTACCCGACGTTCTTACGGTAAAGGTAAACATCGTGATGCAACCTGCACATAGTAGCAAAGAAATTCAAAGATATGTGTGAAGTCAACACGCAACGGGCCAGCGTGGTTGACAATAACCACACCTTAGGGTAGACTCTGAACCATACAGTGGGACGTATAGTAAGCTGGTGAACATTTATTAACAGATTATAAATTTCTAAATCTGCTATTTTTAAAGATATTCACATACAAAACGTACTGTATAAAAAGATAAGTAACATTATTTACATGTTTATAAACATTTTATAAATAAACATTTCTTAATAACAATATAATAAAATGGTCAGACAAACGTATGTAATAATCTTTGTCGTGTAAAAACCTATTAATTATGCAAACAAGATAATAAACGAGTGAATTAAAAAAACTCATCTCTATTTATAGTTATACTCTATCTATGTGGTGATGACTTGTATTGAAAACATTTGAAAGCCACAGCAGTATATTACTAATTATTATATCAGCGTGCGAGGATAATGAATAAGAAAGTTACCACATTCCCCATCATTAGGACACTTAACAGGAATGTGGGTAGGCTATATTTAGCAGTGATACCAACGACGAAACTAAGAAATAATACAAAGCTTTTATAACGGAACACGTGTATACGAAAACATTTGCAATCGCTGTCTTAGGTTAAGGTCTGTGTAGTGTACTTATTTACGTATTTATTTATGATACTACACTACATCTTTAAAAACTTTTGACAGTGAAAACATGTCAGATTTTAAAATACAAAACTCTCAGGGCCTGTCCTACCACTGGCTGATAGAGTAAAAATGACGTCACTATCCGTTAAGGGAACAAAATATGGTATTTTCATCATTTATTTTACACGTTGCATTGTTATCAGACAATTTACAATTTGGTAAGACAGGCCCTTAATTTTATAGCTTTTAGCTTGAATATACTATATTTTATAGTAAAAATTATATAGTATTACAGTAAAAATGTCCTAATTAATTACAAACATTGCAGGATACGATACATTTGGGATTGTATCCTTCAGATACGTAAAAAAATTTATACCGTTACTAGGCCACTGCATTTAAAAACGAACATGTACATCTTCATTATTTTAAAACCTGTTGTTTTATTCATACCGTCAATATAAGATTCCCGCCCATCGGCGCGAACGCTATGCCCTTTAGTTAAATTGTTCAATCGTACCGGCTTTACTTTGTATTATAAACAAGGTCAAATAACCGTTTATTCATGTCAACATAAATTATAATTTTTTAAACATTAAAATTTTTAATTTTCGATTCTCCTGGCTAATTATTTTTGCTCAAAAAGTGCTTAGCAATTTTAGAAAATAATCAACGACAATGTATTAAAAAAAATCTTTAAAATCAATTTGAATGAAATTGAATTCTGATCAATTATAACGATATAAGATCGTTTTAACTAGAATCTTTTAACACGATTAGTTTCATATCAATGTTAATCGCTGAGAAAACTAAAGATTTGTAGTAAAGGAAACATTTATGGGAACCTGTTTTGTGCGTTAGTGAAATTTCCCGGAAAAGCTAAAGTAATGAATCGTTGGACAATTTTAAAATATTCTATAGTACAATATCAATTGCATGATAAGTATTAACTAAAAAGTCATCTACCATAACGATATCTGCTGTTGCTGTGTTTGTCTTAAATTCATTTCTCATTTAACTTGTGCTAGTTGCTTTTGAATTTACTTAGGTTTCGTTCACGTGGAATTAAGAAAACCTTAGCAAGTAGACTATGCGTTCCTCTATGGTTCAATTCCGTTCAATTCTATGGTAGATTTTAGCGAGATTTGTGCATATATTCTGGAGATATGTTACAACAAACATTTATCCATCTTAACATTCACATTTATAATATTAAGTTTCTAGCTGTTGCTCGCCACTTCGCACGCGTGAAATTAAAAAAAAATATGTAACTCACTGATATAGCTTTTTAACAGTGAAAGGATTTTTGAAAACGGACCAGTAGTTTTTGAGTTATTTCAATACATAGAAAATTACAGATATTTTGCTGTTTATAATATTAGTATAGAATAGTAAGCTTTGGTAATGTAAAGATTTTTTTTTTATTTTTAACAACTTCTACAGACTCTTGTTCCGTACTCTTTTTTTGCACAGTTTGTTTTTCTTTCCTTTTTTATTTTTATTTTTTGGTTCGTAATCCTTGTAACACTAGTGAGTTCCTTTTTTTTAAATTACATTTTTTTTTCATAAATACAATTATACTACTAATGTAAAGATTATAGTATTAGAGCTTAAGGTTTCTATCAGATGACTTTCCATAAGGGATAAAAGTGCCTTTCCTACAAGTTTAAATAAAGGAAAGCCGCTTCTATAAATAATACGACCACATAGATGTTACCCGATGATTTATGTTTCCTGAATTTCTTGTTTCAACTTATGCAGCCCATCACATGAAAGGTACGACAGGAAGTCTATAGAATAACTATGTAATGGAAAACTAGTTTATCTATTTTGTTATTTACAATTCAATTTCAACGACTGTCATAGACATTAGTAAAAGCAGATGCGTTGCCTACTTTAATTTTCTGCTATTCTAATCCGTCGTGCACCTTTATTGTGTTAAGTTACAATTACTTGTTACAAATGTACTTACTAGTAAAATTAGAAATGTCCTTTCTTCGTTGAAATTCCAAGGCTGTCATACTTACGGGTCTAAGGTTAAATTTAAGCTTAAAATTAAGGTTATGTTCCTCTAAATAATGGGCGATCATTTATTGTTGATTTAAAACTAGTTTTTTTGACATTTCGACCTTTAAATCAACTTGAGAACTCGGATTACATTTTGAAAATAAAGAAACGGTAGCACTTTTTTATGTCATGATACAAAATGAGGAAGCGGCCGCCTTAATTCTCCGAAATAGTGAAGCGACCTATAGACATCAGCAAAGGTCGACGTTTAGCTTTGCATCGCGTTTGGTTACTATGAATCGATAGAGAAGTGGACGCATAGAAAGAGGATATTTCCCCTTCCTATGCGTACACACCTGCGATAAGTACTTCTTATTTGCTACCCCTGTCTTATAAGAAAATTAGGGACAGGGAATAGGCAAAATTAGGCCTCCAACACGCATACTTCTCAGAACAAACGCGGTATTGCTGCCACTTCACGTCTTTCTGTGTGGTTGTAATGAACCGGACTAGATGGCCGTGTTGCTGGCATCTACCACTATTAAACTTTTTATTTAAAGTTTCTGTGGACATTGATGTTAATGAGATCTTTGATGTTATTATGATTGAAAAATATTGTAATGATTGATAAAAACTTTATGCAAGAAATTACGAACTTTGCTATTATTTTCTTAAATATTTTACATTCATGATTTTAGATAGAAGAAAGTGAGTAATTTTAAAGGCGCTTTTTGTTATTTTCTTTAAGTGGTTCATATTTCATGCGTTAGATTATTATAGTTTGTTCTTTTTTTTTTAAACGTATATCTTATACTAATTTTGCATATATTATTTTCCGATGATAATTATGTAATTCTATGTTATTGCCGATTTAGATTCAAAATAATTTAAAATTAAACTGGTTTTCGCTTTCTGTGGCAAATACCTTTTATTATACTCATATACATAATTTATTGCTAGCGTTAGAAGTTTTTTAATTAACTGATTTTAAACAAATTGTAGCTTTTTGTAAATATAAACGGATGTTAACGTGTTTAGAATTTATAATGTAAGTAATTTATTGATAACATGTATTCCAATGGCTTGTGACTATTATTAGTTGGTAAACGAGCAAGTGGTCACCTGAATTCGCCTAAAAGGCGAAGAATCCGTGGCTCATAGCCTTCCGCAAATGCAGATGGTATTTTGCCTATTTATGCGTTCCTCGCTCATAATATAAAAATGTATAAAAAAATCGTCACAAATCATAAGAATACAATAAAAATATTCTAATATTCAAACACTATAGAACATAAATCACTTTGAAAGCACGTAAATAAACAGAAAGTATCGTTTACATCTGATTTTTACACAAAATTAATAATCTCCCTGAAATATTCGAATATATGATATATTTTAAGCAAAACGGGTGTCAAAGAGGTTACCGATATTATTATAAACATAACACATATGTTTAGATAATAAATCTATACATATAATAAATTTGGAGTGTCTGTTTGTAAAATAAAAAGAAAAAAAATCCAGATTTCGGGAAGATGATGTATTTGCGTTGCTGATAACAAAAAACGTATGTAAAAATAATGTCTGTCTGTCTGTCTGTCTGTCCGCCGCGTTTGTTCCCGGTAAGCTTCGAAACTGCTGAGTCGATTACGACCGGACTTTCACTGAAGGGTAGTTGACATAGACGGGAATATTATATGCTACT